CCGCCCCGCCCCGCCACGCCGCGGTGCGGTGCGGTGCGCATCCAGTTTCGTGCCATAATAGACGGTTGCCGAGGTTGAAAACGCGCGCAGCAGCAGCGGAGCAAGAATAACCGAGCGCTCTTTAAAGGGCAGTTTAGCTGGCTGAGGGGAAAGGCGAGGGGCGCGCGCGTACACCGCTGCTGGTCCCCGCGAGTGGGACAAGAACTGCACGACGGAGAACAGCTGGTGGCGGGGGGGGGGGGCTCTCCGGGCCGAACGTGTGGCCAGAGCAGGTGGCAGGGGGAGCAAGGGGCCGAGGGGGTGCAGGTCGGGGTGCAGGAGGGGTCGAGGCGATATGAGTTAGGGTCCTGCCGTGCGCCTGCCGCGCGGGCCGTCCCAGGTTGTTGAGTGCGACGCGTGGGTGGGCGCGCTGGCTTGAGTACGGTGTGAAAGGCGCAAGGGCGAAGCAGGATGGCAAGGCAAAGATTATTCTCAAGGGGGAGTTCATTTAAAATTGCCACAAATATTTACTTTGCTATCAATTTATTTCTTACAAAGTTTAATAGCAAAAGTTTGTGTTGGAGTACGACGGGCCTCCGTGTGCACCTCTACCACACGCGCGTCCGCCGGTTAATTCGCTCCTCGGGGAGTAGCCGCTCGGGCGGGCGTCCTGCTCCGGGCAGCGGAGCCCCCGGGGGACGAGCGGTCCGCGGCCCGGCACGCTCCCGTCGATGAAATTGGAAGAATAATGACAGAGCAGAGACCCCAAAATAAAACGAACTGTACTCAACCGTGGGGCTCCAGGGGGTTCCCCAGGTGGTAGCACCACACCACGAACGCCAGTTACTCGCCGCGGGCCGAGTCTACGCTTCAGCGCTTCAGCCTCGGGCTGATGTCGTTCTACCGCAATGTCGTGTTGAAGCACTCGTTCCGCCGTCTTCGTTGTTGCAGACTGGCGGACTAATTAGAGAGAAACTTGGGTTTCCAACCGCTTTACTGCGATTTTTTTTTTTGATTTTTTTTTGCAGAAAAAAATGACATTAGTGACGCTGGAGAGAGTGAACTGGGAACTTTCAGACCCTGCGTGAAACTTTTCTTGCCTCGCTTAGACTACTGCTCCGCCTGCCGCAATCAGCGTGCCGTTGAACGAGCATGAAGAGGGGGAGGGATGGGGCGTCAGGTGGGG